AGGTGTGTGGTGGGTGTGTGGTAGGTGTATGGTAGGTGTGTGGTAGGTATGTGGTAGGCATGTGGTGGGTGTGTGGTAGGTGTATGGTAGGTGTGTGGTACGTGTGTGGTGGGTGTGTGGTGGGTGTGTGGTAGGCGTGTGGTGGGTGTGTGGTAGGTGTATGGTAGGTGTGTGGTACGTGTGTGGTGGCTGTGTGGTGGGTGTGTGGTAGGCGTGTGGTGGGTGTATGGTAGGTGTGTAGTGGGTATGTGGTGGCGTGTGGTGGGTGTGTGGTATGTGTATGGTAGGTGTGTGGTAGGTGTGTGGTGGGTGTGTGGTAGGTGTGTGGTAGGCATGTGGTGGGCGTGTGGTGGGCGTGTGGTGGGCGTGTGGTGGGTGTGTGGTGGGTGTGTGGTAGGTGTGTGGTAGGCGTGTGGTGGGTGTGTGGTAGGTGTGTGGTGGGTGTGTGGTACGTGTGTGGTGGGTGTGTGGTAGGTGTGTGGTAGGCGTGTGGTGGGCGTGTGGTGGGCGTGTGGTGGGCGTGTGGTGGGCGTGTGGTAGGTGTGTGGTAGGTGTGTGGTGGGTGTGTGGTAGGTGTGTGGTAGCCATGTGGTGGGCGTGTGGTGGGCGTGTGGTGGGTGTGTGGTGGGCGTGTGGTGGGTGTGTGGTGGGTGTGTGGTGGGTGTGTGGTAGGCATGTGGTAGGTGTGTAGTGGGTAGTGGTAGGCGTGTGGTAGGTGTGTGGTAGATGTGTGGTGGGTGTGTGGTGGGTGTGTGGTAGGTGTGTGGTGGGTACTGTGGTAGGCATGTGGTAGGTGTGTGGTGGGTACTGTGGTAGGCATGTGGTAGGCATGTGGTAGGTGTGTGGTAGGTGTGTGGTGGGTGTGTGGTAGGTGTATGGTAGGTGTGTGGTAGGTATGTGGTAGGCATGTGGTGGGTGTGTGGTAGGTGTATGGTAGATGTGTGGTACGTGTGTGGTGGCTGTGTGGTGGGTGTGTGGTAGGCGTGTGGTGGGTGTGTGGTAGGTGTATGGTAGGTGTGTAGTGGGTATGTGGTGGCGTGTGGTGGGTGTGTGGTATGTGTATGGTAGGTGTGTGGTGGGTGTGTGGTGGGTGTGTGGTAGGTGTGTGGTAGGCATGTGGTGGGCGTGTGGTGGGCGTGTGGTGGGTGTGTGGTGGGTGTGTGGTAGGTGTGTGGTAGGCGTGTGGTGGGCATGTGGTGGGCGTGTGGTGGGCGTGTGGTGGGCGTGTGGTAGGTGTGTGGTGGGCGTGTGGTATGTGTATGGTAGGTGTGTGGTAGGTGTGTGGTGGGTGTGTGGTAGGTGTGTGGTGGGCGTGTGGTGGGCGTGTGGTGGGCGTGTGGTGGGTGTGTGGTGGGTGTGTGGTGGGTGTGTGGTAGGTGTGTGGTAGGCGTGTGGTGGGTACTGTGGTAGGCGTGTGGTAGGCGTGTGGTAGGCGTGTGGTGAGTGTGTGGCAGGCGTATGGTAGACAACTTGAGGTGAGGCCGAGAGAGGTCTTCAGGTCAGTGAGGCACCCTGGGCCTGGGTGTACTCACTCACACAGGCCTGCTCCATGGGCCCCGTGCCACAGCGGTGGTCAGCCTCCCGCTCTGAGCCATGTTGCTGACTCAGGTAACTGCCGACTCGGCCTGTGCGGGCAGCCGGTCCCTCCAGGGCAGCAGTGGGAGTGAGACCCCGCTGAGCGGCTGGGCTCAGCACCACAGACGCTGCATGCCGCGTTCACAGACAGCAAGCAAATCAACTCCAGACTGCCACAGCCCTGGAGCCATGGTCCTGTGTGTGGAGCTGTAGGGAGGGGTGCTCAGGCTGGGGAGCAGGCCTCAGTGGGCAGGCCACGGCAGGCAGACCTGTGAGCCTGACTTCCCAGGCTCTGCCCTGTGAGTTCTGCCCCCAGCCTCTTTGTGGTACAAAGCCAGATGCACACACGGGCTTTTCTAAAGTTACTCAAAAGAAAAGCAATAATAATAATAAAAAGTAAGTCCAGCCCTGAGGCCGCAGCCTCTGCCCAAGCACAGGCAGTGGCTGCTGGAGGCCGTCCTCCCTATTGCAGGAGAGAAATGCCAAGAACTTCCCCTCACCACGGAGGGAAAGCATGAGAGTGGCTCTGACGGGTGCAGGGAAGGAAGGGCAGGTGTCATCCTGAGTTCCAGTCTTCCTAATTCTCCTGCTCCTCCCGTGTGCTTGCCCAGCACTCTCCTTCTACACGTGAGCTGCTCTTCCTCTGAATACCCAGGCAGAAGTGTCACCACCTCTCCCTCGGGGCATGTAGAACCTCCCACTGTGAACCCCACATCCATGCCTGTCCTGCTCTTCTTCCTCTGAGGGCTGGTGGCGGCGAGCAGAGCCAGTTGATTGCACACAGTCCTCGTCACTCCCTTGTCCCTTTCCTCCCTTGAGAAGACACAGCCCCATGAAGGATTCCTGTGCCTGTGACGCTAACTGGCCACAGGGTCTTTGCAGATGACCAAGATAAAACCAGAGCTCAGGGACAATGCGGCCCAAGGCATAAAGGAAGATGTGACATCACATCTGGGAGCCAAGAGGGATCCAGCTGCACTGCGGACAGTGACACGCTGAGGCCTGGCGCGGATGGTGACACCACACCCATGCTCTCCCTGGCACCTGTCTCTGGTGTGTTGTCTTGGCAGCCCCAGGAAAACAAAGCACCCCAATCCCTTCCCGCTGGCCCAGCCTGACTTTTCCTGACTTTTCCTCCTCCCCTCCCCTACCCACCCTCCCCCCGTTCCCCCCAGTTCACTCTCACTGTGCAAATTAGTCACCTGCGAGTGCCAATTAGTCCCCTTAACACACCCCAGAACTGCTGTTGTTCTCTTGTTCTCCTTCAGTCAGCCTGCAGGACTATTTGTGACCATTTTTACTTGTCACCGTTGACAAGCTGAGCAATTCGTGCCAGGGGCAGTGGTCCTGGGGGACAGGAAATCCTGGCAGAGGCCAGAACGCCTCGGCCCAGCCCTGGCTCCCGAGAGAGACGGATTTGAAGGAGACTAAAAGGAGACTGTGCCAAGCGGGTGGCTAATGAGCTGGCAGGGCCTTCACCCGCACCTACGCCTTGCTTCCTGAGCTTTCCCTTCTGGCTCACCTCGTGGCCTGGGCCATCACACGTCGGCCAAGCTGGCCGGGTGGCGGTGCCTGCGTGGCAATGCTGGCTTTCCTGGAGCAGCAAAGTAAAGAGGAGCAGGGCTGCGGGAGGCTGGGGCAGCAATGCCTCTCCCCAGGTCTCTGCCCACCGCTGTCAGAGGTGCCTCTGAGGGGCCCCTGCCGCGGGCCACGCAGACTGCGCCTCCTGATTTACGCGTGGCAAGTGTTCCCTCAGGTCTTCAGCGTCCAGAGCCCACGCTCAGGCTCCTCAGCCGACCCAGCTCCTGACGAGCATCCGGGGCCTGCAGACAGAGGTGCCGTGGGGCTCCGAGCTGCCTTGCCACTGCTGCTGCCAAGCAGGGAAGAGGGGAGGAGGCTGACACGTGTCCAAGGAAACACACCAAGGAGGCTCAGCACCATGCAGAGCGCAGAGGGCTTACAGGCCGAGAGCTGCTCAGTCCTCGGCAGGGCCCAGCGAAGAGGAGGCTGTGGAGCCTCAGCGTCTGAGGCCGAGCTGAGCTGGAACCACGTGTCCTCATCCTTGCAGGAGGATGAGGAGGAGGACGGAGGATGCTAGCCCATGCCCCGTATCCCTGGAACGCACAGGCTGGGTGTGGGGCAGAAGAGATGTGAAAGACGGCGTGAGACAGAGGCAGCTCCTGTATGACCTTGAGCTATCAGCTTCCAGCTCTGCGTGACCTTGAGCTACAGGCTTTGGCGCCTTCTTTGGGGGGAAAAACTGGCAAGGCAGGATGGCGGTGCAGAGCACGTGCTGTCGTGTGGGGAGGCCAGGAGGGCGCACGGTGCAGTGGAACTCTGGGTGACATTGCCAAGGAAACTGTCAGGGAGATGCAAAGGCTCTTGACAGAAAGGCCCAGACTTGGGGCTGAGAAGGTGGCTTAGTGGTAGAGCGCTTGCCTTGCATGCATGAGGCCCTGGTTCGATTCCGCAGCACCACATAAGAAAAAAGAAAAAAGCTGGAAGTGGCGTTGTGGCTCAAGTGGTAGAGCGCTAGCCTTGAGCTGAAGAGCTGAGGGATAGCACCCAGGCCCAGAGTTCAGGCCCCACGACTGGACCCAAAAGAAAGAAAGAAAGAAAGGCCCAGACTTGGAGTCCAAGCTTGAGATCATTTCCCACTATTCCTGCAACACCGTTTTCTCTCCTAACTGGGCCCCGCGGCTACGGCCAGTGGCTGCTAGGCTCTTTCCTAGACCTGCCAAGAAGCGAGGCACCGGCCCCCCAGAGGACACACAGGATCTGGTACAGGAGACAGCGAGTTTGCCTCTGATGCCACAGGAAGAGGAGCAAGGCGGGGCTGGGGGACCAGAGCTGGACCCCTACAGCAAGATGTTGAGGTCCGGGGAAGGTGGCCATGGCCTAGATCGTTGCACGTTTACAGGTCAGGGGATTGCAGCCTGTACACACTCACAGGTATGTGAACCCTCACAGTGGCCCACGGCTCCCAGAGCTCATCCCCCAGAGTCATTGGAGCCGTGGGTGTCAATGTCACGCAAACTCTCTGCCGACCAATGCCCCCCACCCCCCATGGTGCCCACATGAATGTGCTGGATGCTGGATGCCCGATGGGTTCTAGATACTTATCAGCCAACTTGCTTGAAACACTCTCCAACCTCCAGGCCTCGCCACATCCTCCTATAGTGGGGTGCAGCCCCAGGCCCCTCGGCCAGCACACAGGCAAGGCTGCCACAGCCCAGTGGTCACCCCGGCCAGGCTATCAGGCGGTCACCCCCTGAAGATGGCCCCGAGCTGTAGCTTTTGGTCACAGAAGACAGATCATTTCCAAGTATCCCACTGTGGGTCCTGCGGGGGCACCCTCACTCCTGGCTAGGTGACCGGGCGGGCAGCCTATCCAGCGGGGGACGTAGGCCCCACGGAACACTCACCTATGAGGCCATCCCTGGCCAACTGCAGGGATTGTGGAGAGAAGAGCCTCAGGCCGTACATCACGAATCGGGGTGGGTGCCTGGCTTTGGCCCCAGCATCGAGAAGCAAAATAAGGCTGCACAGCACACAGAAATAGACAGGTCTGCTGTAGGTGATGATTTGGTTGTGTCCCTGGAAAACAAATACAATTTTATCCTAATTGTCAAGTCCCACACCACACAACACAGTATGCACCACCAGGCCTCTCCTCCTCCCTGCCCTGCCACAACTCACACACAGACAACACCAGGAAAAGAACAAGGCCCAATGCTTGTTTGTAGAATGGAGCTATCACAAAGAATGATACACACTTCAAACCTGACAAGATTATCTAAAACTTAACTACCAGCCTTACAGAAGATCTAAGTCAAAGCTTTCTCCAATAGTGAGAATTCAATCCAACTCATTCACTTCAAGGCAAAACTAGTCTAAGCCCTCATCGGCTCTAACCTGGCTTCACTGTTTGTTAATAGGAAACAGAATCCATAAGTTGTGAACTTGAGTCACTTCAAGTCCTAGAAAACAAAGCAGGCACAGAGCTGTGCCTACAAAGCTATGTGTGCAGGCGTTTGTGTATGAATACTTGTATACATTTATGTGTAGGCCACAGGTTTACACTCTTTTTTTTTTTTGGTCGGTCATGGGGCTTGAACTCTGGGCTTGGGCGCTGTCCCTGTGCTCTTCAGCTCAAGGCGAGTGCTCTACTGCTTGAGCCACAGCGCCACTAGGCCACAGGTGTGTAGGCACATGTGTGCATATGTAGGTACATGCGCACGCACACACACACACATGCACACGTGAGAAGCAGGAATGGTTCATTGTTCTCAAACGGCAGGGAAATTCAGGAAAGGATGTAACATGGAGGTTCGAGAGCAAGAGTCAACCAACAATTCGCATTTCACAAACCAACGTGCAATTCTTCTTTTCCCCAGGAAAGTATATTTTGCAACTCTCGAAGTGCTTCGAGTGTGAAGGGCAGGGTCAGCATGTGTGGCAGATGTGAGTTCCAGTCCCTGTCCACATGGGTGACACAGAGCTGTGCGGTGCACCTTGTCTCTGCTCCTGAGCAGCATGGCTCTGTTCTGAGCCCATCTTCTCATAGGAGACACGTGTGCTGGCTGTGGCCGGTGCCCCTGGACCAGCCTAGGTCTTGGAAGGCATTTGCATTTGTAAAGAGTTTTCCTTTGAATCCAACTAGGTCACATATTAATGAGTGGAAAGGTTTTATTTGCATCAAAGAAATGAAAACAAAATCAAAGTTGGTCCACATGCACTTGCCAGGCAAATAGCAAAAGACATCACTAGTGTACGGGGCGAGGAGGACACGGCCAGGCCTTCCGCTCTCCACAAAGAAGAAGAGAGGAGGGGACAGGGGCAGGGAGAGGTGAAGGAAGGAAGAAGAAGAAAACCCTGCATCGCCTTGCCCCTGACCCCCATCTGCACCTTGCTGAGGGACCCGCTGGTCCAGCCACAGCCCCCCCAGAAGCCCACCTGTGTACTTGGCATAAGCTGGCCTGATGTCCGCCCAGGAGGAGAGTGGAATGCTAACGCTCTACTACTTCCCTAAGAGTAAACGGGGTCTTATTGTTTGGAAGATGAGGTGTCTGAGAGATCTTCAGGGACGCAGGGGCTGGGGTGCGGGGGGGGCCCTAGGGAGTGAGTGGTGGGGGAGGTCCACAGCCCCTCCAGAGCCTCGTCTCCTCAGGCCTCACCAGACAGAAGAGCTACACACACTGAGCATGCTCGGTCCATTCCTGCCTTTCCTATGCCCGGCACCCTCTTCCTTTCCATGGACCATGGGACTGACCCTAGGACACCCCTCCAAGCACACACTGCCATACTTGCCCTGATGAGTGTGGACAATTGCTCCAAACTGGCTACTTGTGCTCTGGGGAGCGAGTAAAGCAGAAATGCTAGAATTCATCACTATGCCTCCCAGAGAGCACCCAAGGTGGTGTCTGGAGCACCCCCTACCCCACCCACCCCCATCCCGTGGATGGAAATCCTCAGGCTGGCGCTGGCATTAGGGCTGGGAACCGGCTCTGCGCCCTGAGTCTGCGATCTCCCTTGGACATCGCCTTTTTCAAATTTTCCCACCTCTAAGTTGGAGATCATGAATCTGCATTCCGAACACCACGTGGCTCGGCTTGGATGGCGAGAGGAAATGCTGGCAAGCCCTTTTGTTTCTTCCCCCCTTCCTTAGAACTATGGGAGAACTGCCAAGGAAGATTAGAGACTAATCTACTAAGAAATCTGTTCAAGTGAATTAATTACTGCACTGAGTGAGCTCTGAGCCTCCCTGGGACAGAAAGGAAAGTCCTCTCTTGGGAGCTGCAGGGAACCACGCCCCGGGGGAAGGTGCAGCCTGCTCGCTCCTCCTAGAACCAGTCAGACGCATGGTATGGGGTCACGTGAGGACCTCACCTGTCCTGCCTTGTTTCCCAGCACCCAGGGAAGTGACTCTCCATACAGACACCAGCCCCCTCTAAGCTACCCAGAAAGCCAGCGGCAGTGGGGCGCAGGGGGCTGTGGTGGGGATTCCCAGACCACCGCCCTCCCGGGCCTGATGGTAATCACAAGACGTCTCCATGCACTGATTACACACTGCTACTGAACCTGACGTTTGGACTCAATAATAAAGCAAGAGGTACCCCACGTAAACCAATTATGGAGAACGGAGGGTTTCGGGAGATGGCCTCTAACCCATGGGATCACCCCATTATAAGCCTCCCTCAATTACTCTGATCCCACACAGATTAAAAGTCAGCCCTAGGAAATTTCCTAGATGTGAATGTTTTAAAAGTGGGTGGAGGGACAGCCAGCTTTCCCTCCTTGCAAAGGTTTGTCCCAGGAGCCTGCCACGCCGTGGCTGGCCGGGGCCATGGGGCACCAGCGTCTGCAGGATGGGGCCAGGCCCGCAGCACCCACTGGCACCAGGCAGCTGTGAGTGCACGGTGAGCACCAACAGGTCCAGATGGTGAAAGATTACAGCACACCAACAACGACGCAGCCCTGGAGAGTTCTTCACGTACAACAAAAACGTAAAGCGCAACCTCAGCGGGGCCGACACAGGTCTCCTGGGCAGGTTTATCAAACAGACAAAAGGTGAATGCTGGCTGGTAGGGTGAAGTAGGATGGACCTGGGAGGCGCAGCGTTACAGCACCGTGGGAAACCACGTGGAGGCCCTCGCGCGCTCTTGGGCCGGGCGGCCACAGGACCTGGCAGTCCTGCTGGGGTCGCTCCAAGAGAATAAAAAACATGTAGGTGGGGGGGGGGGGGGGGAGGAAGCATGAAAGCAAGATCCAGAAAATGCCTGTGTGTCTAGTGATGGCTGGACTGTGTAACAAGCACGCATGCAACACGTGCACACACACACAACACTACAAAGGGTGAGCACCGCATGACCTCACTCTGCTGGATCCAAAAATGTCGAATCATGGTAGCAGAGCCCAGCACTGTGGTTGCAGGGGTAGGGGAGATGCTGGCGTGGGGGGGAGGGGCGGGACAGGGGCAACGGGCCTGGGAGAGCAGCGCATCACCATGCACACCTGCACAGTGCTGGGAGAGTTTTGTTAAGTACGTGGAGGGGTGGTGATGTTCATTAGCTTCGTTCAGACATTCTGTCACATATTGATACAGCAAAGCACCCTATTTTACCCCCCAAATATGTATGATAATCCTTTGAAAATGAGCCTGATTCCTGCCCACAGAATTGCTTCAAGCCCACTGCCTGTGTTATTTAATAGCCACAGGCCTCATGGTAGGCACGGGACACCCCCAGCCCCCCAGCCTCCGAGCCACCCCCCACCCCGGGCCTGTATTCTCCCTCAAGGGCTCTGCCCTGTGCCCACCCCATGCAGCCCCAGGCCCGTCCCCTCCCACTACCCCACAGCTCTGTCTAGAGCACAGAACCACGTGCTTGCTCCTGTCTGGTAAGCGCCGTGACACGTGAGAATGAGGTGAGGACTTACGTGGACTGGAGAGGCAGGGTCAGGCTGCACACTCTGAAACACAAACCAGAAGTGCGCGTCACCTCTCCGCGAGGGCCGTTGGGTCTGTCTCTCCCTGAGCCGGGAGTGCTGGTGGGGCAGGGGCAGGGGTGTGGGAGGGTAGGTGGGTGGATCTGTCTTGCCTTGAGCAGGGAGTACTGGCAGCTGGCCATGACCAGGCAGAACAGCAGCACCCACAGGTCCTTGCAGAAGCCACGATTGAGTGTCAGGAAGCCCAGAAAGGACACCAGGACGCTGAGCAGGACCGCCAGCACGTTCTCCTTCACGTCGTCAGTTCTGTGCATGTGGGGAAACAGCGGAAAGGAGACAGGAGGTGGGCTGGGCTGAGCGGTGGCGGGCAGACTAAAGACCCCGCCAGGGGCTGAAGGGCTGCTTCTGAGCCTTCACATCCATTGGGAGGCTCAACAGCCTTGCCCTTCCTTCCTTTCCTCTCTTATAGTTATGTTATTTAAACAAAGTCCTGGCTTCCATCCCAGGTCTCTGTAAAATAAAAGAAACATATCCCACTGGACCTCCTCACCCACAGTACTGAGCTCTGTGCGTGTGTGTGTGTGTGTGCGCGCGCGTGCGTGTGCGTGCGCCAGTCCTGGCTCTGGAACTCGGCCTCGGCACTGCCCCTGAGCTTCCCATTTTGCTCAAGGTTAGCGCTCTACCACTTGAGTCACAGTGCCACTTCTGGCTTATTTATTGGAGATCTCATGACTCTCCCGCCCAGGCTGGCTTTGAACTGTGATCCTTAACCTCCTGAATAGATGTGGTTACAGATGTGAGCTGCTGGGCGTGGCTCAGCACTGGACTTCTTAGTAGAGGTGTCAAGGTTTGACCCACAGAATGTTCCAGAGCTTCCTGGGCTCCTCTCAATACAAAGGAAAGGAAAGTACATGAATTGGCCTGCAGGAAGTCATTTCTAGACACTGTCTCTGGAGCAGTCTGCTGTCCTGTCCCAGAAGCAAATAAAAGATGTTGTGTACATGTGTATGCATGCACACATGCATTCGCACGTATGCGTACACATATACACATGGACACATGCACATGTAGATACATATACACATACACACATGCACACAATGCATTATGCACACATGTACATAATACACGTGTGCATAGACACACAAATATGCGTGTACATTCACACGTATGGTTACGCGGCTCCAGGCTCAGGCCCGCTAAGGCTTGGGTTCAGTGTCTGGATTTGATATGATCTGACTTCATGACCCAACGTTTTATTTTTAATCTGCTTTCAGAGTTCTAGCTGACAATCAGTCATCAGGATGGCAGCGCCTATGGCCAAGATCCCCCCACAGCCCACAGTACAGGAAACCAAGGCACAGGGGCTCTCAGAGGGGCTGACTGGATTTCTGGGCTTCTGCACCGTCTGGCTCCACACCCACTGGGCTGGGCGAGAGAGAGGGGCTCCGCTAGCCCACTCCTGAGCAGAAACTAAAATCCACGCGTGCCTCTCAGAAAAAACAACACGATGGCAAAAGTGATACCGCTGCATAAGTTTTAAAAGGGCCAATAAATTTAAGACAAGTGAGGGGAAACGTGGGTTGAAGTGGATGGTGAGAAGCTGGAAGGGGCAGCACTGTGCTTATAAACTGCTTGGTTTAGTGGAACTCCTTTGTACACGACTTAAAGATGATAAAGATATTAATAAAAAGGAAAGAAAATTACCACAGCTGAAAAACTAATTTGGTAGCAGCACAAACCATCTGACAACACTGGCACCTGGGGTGGAATCACTGCTCGTTAAATCTCTGCACGAGCTTTTCAGAGCAACACCGGTGCTGGGAAACCTGCTGCTATCCCGACCTGACTCACTCCACACACTGACTGCGTCCGCAAACCATGCTACAGCACGTCACAGGGTGAAAGAGAAGGCGTGGTCTTTACCTTTAAAACAAATGACTCACAGAAGCGTAGGAGAGACAAGGATTTAAAAGAAAAAAAGGATGGTGACAATCATCCATTTTCAAAAACTCAACTGGTCTTCTGGTTAAATTCTGTTGTTGTTGTTTGGGGTTTTTTGGCTAGTGAGTAACAAATACAAGATTCTACAGAAAGGTTTGTTTTTAATATACAGGGCTACCACTAGCTGTTGTAATTTTCCATAGTTTCTAAAGATAAACATTAATATTTAAAGAGAGGCCTCCTTCTACTGCATGGTAAGCACTGCATGGTGCTGGCGTCCTGCCCGGGTACCCGGAGCTGCGAGCAGACACCTGCCGGCCCCAAATTGACTGATGTCATTTTTCAAGAAGGTTGTTTTTGTTGCCTGTGATCATGTTGTTTAAAACATTACTGCACATTACCATGACAAGCTGTTACCAGGGACCGAGGACAGCCGGACGGCCCGGCCTCCACCCCCCCGCCCCCGGGGACTGCCACGAAATTTGTTCCAACAGCCTGGACAACTTGAATAGCCTGCTGCAGTCCAGAGTTGGTGGACACTGATTGTCCCCCCTCCAAAGCCACTCTCCTCTCCAACCCCTCCTCCCCACCTGTCCACCAAGCAGCACACCTCGGGCCAACTCCACTTCCCCTGGGGCAGACAGAAGGGTAGGGGTGACCGGGAGAGCCACTCCAGTCAGTGCCACGTCAAGAAGGAGCGCAAGACCAGAATCTACGTATGCTCACTGGCCCCTTGCCGCCGGCCCTTGCTCGCAGCTCACCGATCCAGTAACGCCAGCAGCGTGAGGCGGTCGTACCACACTTTAATCCACTTGCCAGGGAAAATGATGAATTTATAAAACTGCTCCCGATTAAACTTTCCTTGCGCAGAAGAACAGGATGAGTCTTCCAGATCCTGGCTGACATGCTTTGAAATGAAAGACAGAGTGAGAGATAGAGAGAGAATTAGAGATAGAATTTCATGGTGCCAGGCCATGGACACCAGTATACACCAAAGCTCAAAAATACCAACACAGACGTTCAAATTCTGAAGGTAAAAGCCCCACACTTAGTCTGCAGTGTGCTCTCTGACAGAGAACATGACCTCTGGGAACCATACGTGTCCGCCCCCTGTAGCACGAAGTCTCCAATCAGAGCATCATGCTCACGAAGATCAAGACACTGCTGTGACTAGCTTTCACATGAAATATGAGACTCCAACAATAAAACATCTGAAGTGAGCCAGGAGCTGGGCTCCAACCTGTAATCCATACCTGAGAAACACAGACTTTGCCAGGGAAAAGCACAACTTTGTGGAATGGAGTGCTGGGGCTGGCAGGGACCACCGTCCCGGTGGCCCAGAGCCGTTCTCGGCAGAGGTGTGAGGGCAGGTGGGGGGTGAGGGCAGGTGGGGGGTGAGGGCAGGTGGGGGGGTGAGGGCAGGTGGGGGGGTGAGGGCAGGTGGGGGGTGAGGGCAGGTGGGGGGTGAGGGCAGGTGGGGGTGAGGGCAGGTGTGGCTCGGTGGTGAGGGCAGGTGTGGCTCGGTGGTGAGGGCGGGTGTGCAGGTGTGTGTGGTGAGGGCAGGTGTGTGTGGTGAGCACAGGTTGCAGTTTTCCCTGGGATTCTTCCAGTCCTCTGGGCACTTCCATGAGTAGTCTTGCTGGGCCATTCTAATCAGTCTTTCCTCTTGCCTGCTTTTATTTTGTGTTTCCCACACGGTTTCCTGCAGCTGACTGGCACAGGACACCGTGGGGAGGAAAGGAGAAGGGAAGGGGAGGAGGAGGAGGGCAAAAGGGTGGCGGCAGCTGGGTTGGCTTCCCAAGGCCTCGCATCTCCTTGGCACGGAAGAAGAGTGAAGCTAAACACGCCAGACTCAGGCTGAGTCGCTGACATCAAGAACCTGGCAAGTGTGAGTGCAGCCAGCTGCTCTGGGGGCCTGGGGACTGGGGACCCACTGGGCCCAGCGCTGGGCAAGGGGGCAAGGCAGGCTCAGTGCAGCTCAGGGGGCAGAGTGGGGGCAGGGAGGAGGGCCGAGCCATCTCGACAGCGGCATGGGGGACAGGCCAGCCTAGGGGGCCAGGGTGGGGACTGACCACCATCTGGGCCTGTCTGGGACTCTGTCCGGCACTGGAGCTTCAGAACCTGGCCCTGAACTGTGTCCATGAGGCAGCTGGTACCCAGGACTGACAGCAAAGCCTCCCCGGGCGTCCTTTCCTGCCGTGCCCCACAGATGGCGCAGGTGAGCAATCTACCCACAGTCTGGCCGGCTGCCCTGGTGAAGCGGGCATGGGGACAACACACAAGCAGGCCAGAGACTCAGCACCTGCCCGGCTGGCCACAGCTCACCTCACATCACTTCCTTACAGCCTAGGACTGTGCCCTTTACGAAACCTAATGGTGTGGGTTTGCAGAGCCATTCGCTGCAGCTCCAATGGAAGTCCCTGCTTTCACAAAAGTCTCCAGACCTTACAGGGAAGGACCGGGGAGGAGGCCCCAGGGGAGGACCGCTGTGGGAGGCCCTGTGGGTCAGGGCTGGGGCTGCACCTCCCGTCGGGTGCAAACGCACCCCACAAGTTCTTGAGGGACCCATGCGGCATGGTGGCTAGGAGGGACCAGACGGAAGAGCAAGTGAGCAGGGGTTCCATGACCTGACTGTCCCCCTTCCCCCAAGGTTCAGGCTGCTGGCAGCCCCCTGGCCCGTCCACCAGGGGCAGGTCTCAGGGTTCCCCTCTGTCTCCAGCGCCCTGCCACACATACCCGGGGCGGTTCTGACGGCGTCCTCCGGGCCGCCATGAGCAGCAGCTGCTGCTGCAGGGCGCTGACCACAGGGTCCCCCGAGGACGGGTCCGGGCTCCCGGAGGTGGTGGTGCTGGAGGAGCTCACCAGCGTCTCCCTGCAGACGGGTGAGGCGAAGGCTGTGTCATCCCTGGCCGAGAGCTTGTCGCGGAAGCACAAGGGGGTGAGGGGTGAGCAGCACGGCCGCGGTGGAGAGCTGGCATGGATGCGCACAGGCACTGCGGGTGCCAGGCTGGCACGGTCAGCCCTGACCACCGTGCTGCCCAGGGCCTCAGGCCGTCACAGTGCCTGGCTGCAGGGGGCAGGGGTCCCCGCGATCAGGAAACAGCCCCAGCTGTGGGTGGGTGGTGGGGACAGAGGGGCGGCAGCCCCAGGCTCCAGCTTCACGTTCCCCAGGCCCCCACCAGGAAGCACAGGACGACCCCCCCATCCACCGCTCGACCACCGCATGCCTAACCCAGCTGCAGATACGTGCCTGGGGCAGCTGTCCTTGGTTAAACTGTGTGGTAAACTGAGGCACAAGGCCTCCTTCACCCGGCTCCTCCCTAGTTAGGCTATAGGCTGGATTCATTTTTGCAGAGTTGGTGGCCAGGCCAAAGCACTGCTTGTTTCCCAGTTCTGTCATGACAGGTTTCCTGTCAAAGCGGCCCTGGCTGGACACCTCCCGAGGGGCTGGTGCTCCCAAGATGGAGCTCCACTCACCGGACGTGGGCAACACCGTCCAAGCTGGCCACAGGGCATGGTGCAGGGCCTTCCTTCTGCTTCCCGGACTTCAAGTAACAGGACCGGATCTCCCCTGCAAAATCGGCCACGTCATCAGGGCATCCCCAGGAGCCACGGTGCATTTCTGGCTGTTCACGGCTCGGCAAGGCCCAGGCCCTCGGGAGTGGAGGGAGGCCTGCCAGGCATGAGCTTGGCGGCCCCCACTCGGAGGGGTGGGTAGATGGCGCGTGGCTGCATGGCTGCCCTCTGGAGCTTGTCCACAGTGCAAGAGGCCATGTGGGAGGCTGCACGGGGCGTGGAGGGCGACCCCTCCCGAGAGCTATGGGAGGTCCCAGCACCCCACTGGCCCGGGCGGCACCTTGGGGCCAGCAGTGCAGTGAGGGCTCCCCTGGCCCCCCAGCCTGGACAGCGGTGCTAATTTCTTTTTAACCTAACAGCCACTCCATGTCTGCAGATCCAAACACTGGAAATTACAAACGACCGGACCAGATACGATAAGCTAGGACTTGTTATCCATGCCAGGTCCTTCCACGGGACCCTGAGAGACCAGCCAAGACCTAGTCCACAGAACCAGGACCTGAGTCTCCGCCTTGGAATTGGGAGCCGGCCACTTAACAGTTCTCTAGTCACATGATTTAGCCTTCTGATGGAAGGCACTGGAAAAGCTCGCGGGATCACACCAGCACCTTTTCCCAACAGTGGCTCTGGGCTGCTACTTCACAACTCTGTGTGTGTGTGGGGGGGGGGGGGGAGGGTTATTAATCAAGTCGTTGTAAGTAGATAAATATGGACTGTGATGTTCTAGAAGAAAAGGGACAGTGTAGTGTTAGAACAACACAACAGAGGAGAGGAGAAATACCGAGTTTCAGGCAAGGGGACACAGCATGTGCAAAGTCCCAGGGGCACCAAGGAGCACATTCTTCCCAAGAACCCTACGGGGCGATCCCTCAACTCTCTACATATTGCAACCCCTGATGCTCAGGCTGTGGGACTCAGCTAAAGCTGCCTGCTTTCCACCCATGAGAAACGTGGGTCTCAGGGAACCCCGTGAGAATGCTTGCGGGCGGGGCTGAGACCCACCGCGCTCATCAATGAAGACCTGCATGGCATCCGCAGAGGTCTCCTCCTGCCCCGAGGTTTCCGGCCCACTGATGACCTGCAGGACGGAGCTGTCCTGCTGCGAGGTGACCCTGTAGATGATCTGCCTCTGCCGGCCACCCTGGAAGCTGAGCACACACATTCCGAGGTCAGGCACTCCTCCGGCTCTCAGCCAGGCCCATGAGACGCAGCCTGTCCGGGGAGCGCCCTTACAGAGTAGCGGCCTGCGCAGGGGGCGTGCAAGCTGGGCTGGTGCTGGCAGGCTCACGGCTCACAGCATCTGGCTTTCTCAGCCCAGGATCTGGTCCACCGGGTTCCTCCTTCCTCCCTTGGATGTCACAATCTGGAAAACAGGGGAGCGTACGAGAGCTGAGCTACCCAGGCCGACACTGGCTGAGATGCACACAGACACTGTGCACTTCTACATGAATGCTTGCTTGGTTCAGTATGGAAGTCCTAAACAGATACGGAAGCCAGGAGAACTGTGCGCCAGAGTCTGGGGGTGCAGGCTTGGTGAACACCCCACCTCTGCACAGGTCTGCATCTCGGCACCGGGACAGCCTGACAGCCTCCGTGCAACCGTCCTCCTTGGGGTAGCTAGCCGCCTTGCCCTGGAGGGGACGCAGAGACCAGTCTTCACTTGCTCTACCCTTGGGGGTTCTTTGCTGTCTTGGAGGGTGTCCTGATTGTCAACTGTTGACCCTACTCACCGGCATTGACGTCCCTGGGGCTGCCATACAAGGGGCAGAGTCTGAACATACCAACTTTCACGCTCAGGCCAATCCCATCCCTAAGATCTCGAGTATGGAAATATAGCAGTCTGAAGACTAAACCCCAAAGCACGTCTGGTTCCAGGCATTTCAGATAAAGGAAGGACCTCCTGTGTGTGCATGTAGAGGTATGTGCAGGGGTGTATGTGTGCACGTGTATGTGAGTGTATGTGTGGGTATGTTCACTCATCTCAGATATTTCAGATAAGGAATGTTCCTCCTGTATGTGCAGGGGTATGTGTGCACAGGTGCACATGTGTGAATGTGTGTGAGCATGTGTGTACACATGTGTACATGTGCGTGCACGTGTTGGCCTATGGCCATCGTGGCGCCCAGTACTAGCACTCGTGGCTAGGATGAGCCGGTAGGGAAGGCGGCTGGTAGCTAGGCCCTGCAGACAAGAACAGACCCTGAGCACAGAGGCAAGCACCGTCCCCTCCCACGTTAGTGGGCAAAGCAGGTGGGGTCTCACCTGGGGGTCGCTGGCCCGGCCCCGGGGAAGTGCTGATGGACTCCAGCAGGGAGACAAACTCCAGGAAGTTGGACTCGTCTGGCACCTGTCCCCCCTTGGCCTCCAGGTCGGACTTGGAGGCCGGCATGGGCCCCTCCTTGCTGCTGGCCACCGCGGCGAAGATGTCCGTGCCACTGCCCACGCTGAGCACACGGGCGTGCCTCTTCTCCTGGCCGCTCCTACAGGAGGCTGGGTCCAGGCTCACCTGGCCTTCGCTGCCCACCCCAGGCTTGGAGGCTCCCACAGGGGTGGGCTCTGGGGAGGGCCTCGGGGCAGTGCTGGCCTCCCGGGAGGCACAGCACCCATCTCCGGATCCAGATCCACAGTTCCAGCACTGACCTGAGGCCCCTGCCTCCGCTCCCTCCGGGGTCCTTTCCCTTCCCTGGCCACTCTCTGCCCCATCCTCGGGCAGTGCCAGGGTGACCACGGGACCCCGGGTCTGCTCGTGGTCTGCGTCAGAGCTGAGCACCGTCACGTCCCTGCCCGCACGTGTGGCTTGCAGGTCCAGAGAGCTGCCCACGTCGCTCACAGAGTTTGGGGTGCTGCTCATGGTGACAACGATTCTGATGGGCTCGCATGCGCTCAGAGGGTCCCCGGGCTGCTTGGCCCTGGGGAGGGACATGGCCAGCTCACTGCTGGAGCCGTCTACATCCTGGTTCAAGGCCACAGCACTGGGGCTGCCAGCCCCCTGCGCCAGGGGCCTGGCCACTGCGGTGTTACACTGCGGGCAGCTGCTGCTCAGGGCACCTGGCTCCCGCGAGGGGGCCTCCGGGCCCGGGACCGAGTGCTCACTGCCCCACGGAGGGAAGGACACATCACGCTGTGACAGTGACAGTGGCGGCATCGTCTTCAAGGCACCCGCGTCCTCCAAACCGCCCTCCGACCTGTGCCGGGCTGGGCGCGTCTCTGCCCTGCGGGGCTTCTCGGCCTCCTCCATCCTGGGCGCAGGGGCCAGCCCCTGGGGCTGGGAAGCCGGCGGGCACCGAGTCCCCGTCCCGGGGTGGGCAGATGGTGGGGGGTGGTCATCAGACAGTGCAACCCCTGCAGTAAGCGACAGATGGAGTCTCACGGGGATGCACACACCAGGCCCAGAGCCGGGAGCAGCCCCGGAGCAGACCCACAAGGATGTCTGCGTCTAGGAACATCACCGTGGCCAGGAATTGTTCCTGAAAGATCTGCGTTTAAAATACAAACCCAGTGTCAAGAGCTTCTGCTGCTGTGGCCTCAGGGAACAGAGTGGTGTGGCCCCATGGCTGCCCCCCCCTCCCCCGGATGGGCTCCCTCCTCACCTGTCACACTGAGTGACACACTGGTCCACCCGAGAGAAACAACTGCGAGAACGGCAGCAGCCAGCCTTTGCCCATGACACCGCCCCACACACAACCCTGATTGTGATGATCAGGCCTAAGTCCACCGTGGCCCAGTAGCCCCGAGTGACAACGTGCAGCGGGCTCGCAGTGCTAAACCTCACAGGCGCGTACAAAGGCGGCCATGCCGTGTCCCGTGTGACGCGAAGGGTGGCCCTCTCCTGCCCGCTCCCCTCAGCAGACACGACATGGACAGAGGCTTGGCGAGGCTGAAGCAGATCCATGGTCTCAACTCCGTTGTGTCCGTGGGCACTGACATGGGTGCCAGAGACCCCCTTTCCCGCAAGATGGCTACAGAAGATGGGGAGCCAGCGGGTGATGCCTACCTTTGAGATCCTCCACTGTCCCAGGCACCGCCAACTCCTGGAACACACAGAGCAACGGCTTGACTTCCCAGCTTCCCAGCGGCCAGGCCCTGCCCTTCCCCACAATGAGAACAAAGGAGACAGATACCAGACACCCGGCCGACCAAACTCCACTTCAGCCAGTGGCAGGGCACGGTGGTGCACACCGGCTATCCCCACAT